TGAGTTGGCTGGAGCCTGCTCAGTGGCAGGGAGGCTGTTGGCTGGAGCAGAGAAGCACTCCACAGGGAGAGCTGAGGAGTCATGGTTGGAATCAGGCGATTTTGCCCCTCTTTTATGCAAGTAAAATTTACATAAAAGTTGTCTTATTGACCCTCTTAGAGTCAATTCAGTGATGTGTGTGAAGAGCGTTTTCAGGGTTGGGTGCCATCCACACCCCAAAGAAGTTCCCTAGAACGTCTAGAACTCACTTCTCATCCCCAGCTGAAGCTCCTCCCCAGCGCCCTGGCTCCCGGTGACTGCAGAGCTGCTTCCTGTCTCTGTGACAGAGCCTGGGCGCAGCAGCCAGAACATCCCCACAGGGACCTGTGGCTACCCATCAGTGGCAGTCCCAGAAATGCCTCCTCTGCAGCCTGTGTCGGCCAACACCTGTGGCCACAGCAGAAGTGCCCAGGACCAATTTTGTTGACCTTCATGGAGACAAAGGCCGTTGCCCGTGGAGGTGGCTGTGTGCAGCAGTGGCCGCACAAAGGAGAATTTTATCAAGTGGTCCAGAGCTCCCTGATTCCTGGCTGGCACAGGCCACCTGCGGAAGGCCCTCCATATCTTCTTGGTTGTGTGAACACCTCACAGAGCCACTTTCCCGCAGTTCCTCATGTGGAGTGATGGAGAGTGATGGTGGGCTTTTCCTAGAGGCTTGGCGAGGGGCTGACCCAGTTCATACCAGTGGGCCCTTAGGGTCCTGCCTGGCCCAGAGCAGAGTTTCGGTGTGGATTACCTGTTGCCACAGCGATCTTTGCATGCAGAGCAGATGTGCATACGGAGGTTGAGAAGACGGTCTTTGGGTATAGATATTTACTGAATAACAAATTTTTTCTTTTGAAATAATAGTACATTATTAGTCCTCCCAAATAAATTACTTGTGTACTGAGAGAGACCGTCTCTCTGGGTGGATCATTATTTTTTTGTTTTATTCCTATTTGAGCTGAGATTTCAGTGTTGCCACTGGGGGAAAACGCGTCTGACAACGGTGGTGGGCTTTTCCATTTCCACAGAGAACATGTTCTCACGGTGGCTCCCGGCAGCCTCTGTGGGTGTCTGAGAGCTCTTAGCATCAAACATCCTTCTCCACATCCGCCTCAGCTTGGCGGACGTCCACGTTGGAGCCCACTCCACCGCGTAGCTCGGATTCTGTTAGAATGTCTTTCTTTCTCCCATTGAGTGTCTTCTTTCTCCTTTTTCCTCATTGACTTAAGAAAGCTCAGCATCCTTTCCAATGGGTCTCATGGGCGTAACCAGAGGAAGCAGAGGAGGGAGAGAGACACCTGGAGGCTGTTGGTGGGGGACCGGTGGCCTGAGTAGGGCAATGCTGTGGGAGCACGGGGAGATGCTTTTCTTTGTTTCTTATCCCCCCAAACAAAGGTGACTTAAGATCTTTCCTAGAGACCGTTGCCTCAGCCTTGGGCATTCTGTAAGAATCCCACCTCCTCTGAGCACCTCTGGATGTGTTCAGATTAGAGCAGTCATTAGTTCCTGGGCTCCAAGTATCCACCAGTTGCGTGGAGCATGGCTCCCTCCTCCGCTCTGGGTATCAGAAGGAGAGTGTGGAGGAAGCTGGGGACTGGGACCCGGACCAGCCTTCAGTACCTTGGCAGTCAGGAAACTTTGTCTCTCCTTCCCTCAAGGATGCAAATGAAGAGTGAAATCCATTCACCTGCTGAAGTCACTTCTCAGGTGCCCCAGGCATCCTGGGCCTTCAGTCTTCCTGAGCCCCATCCCTGGCGTGCTCAATAATGCAGCAGGATCTTGCTCACCAAAGTGTCACCTGTCGGGTGAGTTGTGCCCGTGCCGATCTGAAGTGACAGCCATCTTTGAGCACCAGCGGCTCCAAGTGACTTCCCTTTCATCATTTGTGTTGGGAAGGGAACATTTTCGACAAGGTGGTTTCCTCTTCCCCCTGTTCTTTCTTCTTGCCCCTCCCCCTCCCCTCTCCCCACTCTCCGAAGCACCTGATCAAAACATTATCACTGACAAAGGTTTCTCTCTCCAAATTAAATGAGTCCAACCAGCCTGGGAATTCTCATGAAGAAAGAAAGTACGAGGCTGATGTGCGTGAAGTTAATGAATCTCTGAGCCTGGGTAATGCGGCCTAGCCGCCTGCCTTCCTCTCGCTCCCTGTAAAGAATGTATGGAAGTTAGTTACGTGGCGCGGTTCTAACATCTGTCCTGCCCCATAATGGCAATTTGTATAAGTAATGGAAACAGGTTAAATACTTCCATTCTAATGTTGCCAGCAGGGATGAAAATGAACATTTCAATGAAATCATCTCGACAGAGCCGAGCGGGGAGGGGCGTTGACGGATTCCTCCACTCCCTTTGGTGATGGGAGCCTAATGAGAACGCGGGATGTATGGCTTATCAGATGGAAGGGGAAGAGCAAGGAAGTCTCAGAGATGGAATCGCGGCTGCAGCCAGCACCCCATCTCCCTGGCAGACCTTTACTAATAACCTGCTCTTTTCATTCCAAGGGAGCTGGGGAGGGGGGTCTCTGTGTTCCTCTAATGGGCTGCCTGCGAGGGTTCTCTCCAGCTGAGAACCACAAGGGTGATCCTGTCCCCTGGCTGAGGACCCTGTGTAAGATGTAAAGGGGGAGGAGGGCCTCCTTCTCCTGGTTCCCTTATAATTATGAATAATCTGCTTTTAGAATGGCCTTCTCTTTGCCTGCAGGGTCACTTTACTTCCTGAAGTTGCTCACGTGAAGAACAGCCATTTTATGTGAATTGCTAGTGCTGTTTACAAAGATCTCTAAATTGGAACGGAATTCTTTGTCACAGTGTGCCTTACACACAGGCCTTGTAGTGCTAGCAAGGGAGTTCTGGGCGATACCAAGTGGCCCACAGCCCCCTGGCTCCAAGCACGTCAGTGTTCAATGCAGGTTCGCACTGAAACAATGTGCTCAGGCCGGTATTTTCCAGTGCCCCGTCTTTCTCCTGCTAGACTGTATCATTATACATCAACATGAGTTACAAATGAGACAGTCAGTTAGCCTGCTACATTAAGTGGCAATATCTGAATGATTCCAAGGATACAAATCGAGAGCCTGGCAAACACTGAGCATCTTCGGTTGAAAGAAAGCATCTTTCACTTTTCCTTGAGGTTTTGCCATGGCAGGAGCAGACACGGTGTGAGCTGGTGTGAGCTTGTTCCATTGTGTCAGTGGGCATTTGGAGTAACTGGCTGGCCCCTGGGAGGTTTTCAGGACAGACAGCCCTGCCTTGCGGAGAGCACAGCATGTCCAGGGAAGCCTTCTCTTGTTGCCCCTGCTCTTTGAGCAGAGCACACCCTTTAGCTTGTCTCACCAAGGAACAATGTGATGACGGGGCAGCACTCTGGGAGCACGTACCTGCCGTGGAGGACAGGCGGGAGGTTCAGTAAGCAACTTCATCCTATGCATAATGGGGTGCAGATCAAGACCTAGGAGGGGATACAGATTTAACTGCAGACTCGAGGGAATCTGAAACTTTGCTACATTTAGCCATGAAAAAACAGATACAGCTGTCACTTCTCACCATCCTCAAAATGACTGCTGACAAGAGCAAGTCTTGTTTTCTTTAAAGAAATAAAGATGTTTTAAACAATTTACAATTTGACAAATAGTTTTTTATCTAACTTGGGGAAGATATGATGTTTGTGCCTCATTATATAGTTACAGTTTGAGATGAAAATATTTTTTCAGACAATATGTGTGTATTTACACTGTGAACCATCGGGGCACACATGGTTGGTGTCATATTAAGCTCTAGCAGGGACTGTATACATTGCCTTATGTCCACTTGCATTAGAATGCACGGAATTTCATGTTACTGGGGATGACAGCACATCTTTAGGGACACATTGGCATCCAGAAGGCACATTTTATGACAAAAAATATTAAATTATAAACAGTGAAGTCTAACCATAAGATCCCCTCGTCCCATTCCCATTTCAGGAGTGGTGGGGTCTGTGTATTTAAACATTTTTTACTGACACACGTGTGCACACTCTTGGGCACACAGGTGTGCGCTGGGAGTCTGGCTGCTCCCTTCCTGCCCTGGCTCCAGCCAGCTTCCCCTGGGCCTCAAGGTGGCTTCATGTGCTCCCCCACCCCCACGGACAGGACACACTGTGCCTGTTGGCACCGTCACATTCTGTACCATCCCGTAGGCTCCGCAAGGGCGGGGGAGTGACGGCAAAGCTGTTTTGACACAAAAAGAAATAGCAGAAATGATGATTTGGAGGCTTTGTTTTATTTGATGGGAGAAATGTCATTTATTTCTATAAGTGATGGTAAAAGAAGAATTTTATCCTGCAGTGTCCACTTCCAGGATGCTCACTCATCACCCTTCCATGATGGGTGGGGTGGCGGGTGTGATGGCGCAAGGGTGAGGCCTTTCGTGGAGAAAATGCTGTGGTGGCGACTATGGGTTCTGCGATCCAGTGGACTCTCACCTAAGGTTCTTTTAGGCTAAACAACGGTGCTCCTTCACCTTGTGAAGTATTTTGTTCTCCTACTATCATCACTGGAAATAAAGATCCTGCTAATACTATGACCTATTCCAGGACATGCATACCCTTACGCTCCGTGGGTATCTGTACATTGTAGCATGTAATGAAAACAGAAGGTTTTTGGAAAGTCTTAGTGTGTAAGCAAACAAAGGGTCATGAAAAAGAATGACTCCGGATAAACTTGTCAATTTTTATGTGCCTTTTTCTTCCTGTTTGTCTCTGTCAAGGTATAAAATCCTTCTAAAAAAGCATCTTGGAAAGCAATTATGAGCATTCACTGGTAAGAGTAAAAGTGAACCTTATTATTCTGATAAAAGCTGTGTGTTCTGTTGTGATAACGTATATGTGACTTTTGACCCATTGTTGTTTTAGGGGGTCTAGGGAAATCAGGTGCTTTGTGACCCCACGTTTGGTTTCAAATGTGAAGCGGTCCGAGGGAAGGGCTTGCTCCTGGTGCATCCTAGTAGTGATGACGTGCATCTGTCTGACCTCAGCATGGCTCAAGACACAAGTCCCTTAATTTGGTGCTCAAAGTTGGCCTCTAAGGTACTTGCCCATGTCAGTTGCTCACCTCGGCACCCTGATCACCAAGGGTCGGCATTCCCGTTTGTCTTCCTTGTCTTAAGTATTTAGGAGTCTGGTTTTCTCCGTTTTGAAATGGAGGCTCCGATCTGAGGCCTGAGACCTGGGCGAGTTTGGGAGAATGTGACAACCCCTCTCTCTGCCTCTTGCTCTCTTGTCCCAAGACCCCTAACTGGGACCTGCAGAAGTTCAGTTTGCAGAAGCAGACTGGCCCTGAGCTGTGGGAGAGGGTGGACGGCTGCGAGGCGGCGGAGGGTGAGGTGCTGGTTCTCGGGTTCAGGTGTGCAGCTCTGAAGCTGCTTGCTCTGCTTGTTTCTTAACGCTGGGTTCCACTGTTGGAAGAGGTGCTTCCTGTACACGTCTTGCATCAGGTGAGTCCTGCTCGCTCATGAAAGTCGTTTCTACTTCCCGGAGGTGAGATCATGACCCGTGCTTAGGGTCTATTGAGCTTCCCAAGATCAGGTGCGTAGACCCAGACTCCTTATGCTCTTTCTGGATGGGGTTTGTCCTCCTCAGAGAGGGCAGTGGCCAAGGACATGTGATTTCCCGGTGTGTGGCACTGGGTCTGCACGCCTTGCGAGGACCAGCTCAGTCAGCAGAGGGGTATGCGTATCAGTGGTAGAGAGGGCACAGCACCCACTCGGATATTCACGAGAGCGGCTTACCTTTCGCCCTTCTTACTTCATTAGAACTCTACTTTTCCCAGATTCTCATGTATTTCTCCTCTTGTGCTTTCTGACACCACTGAAAGCCAGGGAAACCTTTCCACTGGGGTTCGCCTGTGTGGTGCTTTGCACTGCTGTAACACGCAGCTGGCTGGAGGCAAAAGATCAGCATCTAATACGCTGATGGGAAGAGCAGGAAGGGCCTTAAATGAGGTTTCTTATTTCTCACTTAATTTGAGATTGAATTCTGGGGCAGTGAGCGAATTTATTTTGGGATAGTTACCTGTGGATTCCTAATTAAAACTGGTATTGGGAAAAAACAGAGATCATTTTATTTACACACCCTGCAATTCTTAAAAATGGCTTCTCCTGGGGCTCAGGTGATGTGATAGTTCTGTTACAGATCAAATGCCTAAGCAAACCAGAACATTAACGGTGGGTACGAGGAGCTAAAATTTGCCAAAGTGATAGAAAACTTTTTGTTCTTGTCACCTTAGAGCAGAAGTAGCCCTTTCAGCTTTGCTTTGCAGGGTGGCAGCCCCCTGCAAGAAATCGGGACGGTGTTGGTAAATTAATTCATCTTGCTCACACTTTTATGTTCTTTCCGGGCTAAGAAGGCACGTGTTCTGCCTGTATCTGCTTTCTCTGCATTTTTCTTTCCTGATATATTCTGACTTTCATCAAAACCACCTGCTTTCTCCATGATGAAGGTGGAGTTACTTTACAAGTGATCAATTATAAATTTGGGAGAAGGTGTGTTTTGCAAGATTCTGCAGTGAATCGAAGGCATACATTCATCACTTAGGTGTGTGCAAACCCCTTTTGTGAATTGGCCCCTTGGAGTAAATGTATTTTGATATAGTGGCCATCTGCTCATGGGTATCACATTTGCTAGTCTAAAAAAAATAGTTTGATGTAGATAAACATGTAATTTGGTATGATCATATAGTTTCACCAGGTGGCAATACAATAGCCAAGTTTGGTTTTTACGGTAAGGCAGTGGCCAGGCAGAGACTGAAGACTTGCATTTTGTATTTGTCACTTTTAAATATTCATTTTCCTCCTTCACAGCCAACTCTCAATTATGCGCACTGATCAGGAAAGCTGAGAGTAGGTGAACCCGGTCCCCACACCTCCCGCTGCCAGCTGCCTCCCGCAGAGAGCAGAACTGCCGCCTGGCCCGGGTACCTGCTGCTCCCCTCTCTCCACCCTTCTTTGGCAGATGTCCTCAGTCCACGAAGCTGCTGAAAGGCAGAGGGACGGGGAAGGAGAAGGGGCCCGGATGATCAGCTGGCCCCCATTTGCTGTCTGCCTGTCAGGTGGCCTTGGGTCGGCTTGCATGAGACAGGCAAACTGCTGTCCCCTTCCTATTGTTTCTGCTTAGAGGTGCTCACAGTGGCTCTGGTGGCAGGAGGCTAAGGGGCTGCTCCTGTGGTGGGGCAAAGGCAGCACACCTGTGCACAGACCACACTCCTGTTCAAGACTGAGGCCATGAGACGTGGTGCCTGATGAGGCTGCTCCCTGGCTTGCAGAAGCCCTTCCTTCTGTGTCCTTATGTGGAAGGTGCCACCGGCTCTCTGCACGAGCCTACCCTGGGGACTCCACCCTCTTGACCTGAGCGCCTGCTGGTGCTCTCACAGAGAAATCCTGGGGGTGCAACCTCTAGACCACAGCAGCAGATAAACAGAGCTGGGCTTCATGAGGACCCTGATTCTTTCATCTCCATGAATACTCCTGCAGTCCCCAGAGCCACCCTCATTGCCATGTGTGCTGCTGGGGACCCAGAAGCCTGAGGGGTGCAATGGCGTGGGGGCCCACCCTATCTATATCACTGAGCTGTGGTCCCCGGGCTGTGGTCTCCAGCCCGTGCCTTCTGTGTACTCTCCCCATGTCACACTGCTCGTGGGGATCACTCCTTGCATAGGCAACCGCAGTGGCACTGCATTTGCCTCGGCCTGTCAAGACAAATGTGCATCCATCTCTCCTGTCCCTGCTGCTCTGTGTCCAGGCTGCCTGGGGAGTACCTCTCTCTTTGGATCAGCCTCTCTGCCCAGGGTCGCTGATGGAGCCGCTGTGTGTGACAGTGTAGGCTGGTAGGGACTGGTCTCCAGAAGTCTCTGCCCATTCCTCCCTGACACGGACACAGCATATCCGAGCACTCCTGTGTCCAGACCCTGGGCCTGGGCTGGAGATTTCCACCCGTACAGCCTTCTTGTACCAACCTTCTTGTTCTTCCCAGGCCGACACTCTTGAGATGAAACCCAGGTGGCTGTGGCTCCTTCCAAGGAGTTCTTGCCCTGGGAGGGACAGACTCTTGTCACCCACTTTTGGAAGGGTAGGGGCCTTCCTGGGTGGTCCTGGGGGCAGAGCCGGGCACTGGCGTGCTGCATTAGAAGAAAGGCGTCTGAAGGGCAGAGCAGCTTGGAAGTCCAGCTCTGCTGCCTGCTGGCTGAGCTGAGGGAGGGGGCTCAGCCCCCGGTGTTCAGAACAACATGGAAAAGTAGAGGGCCAAGTGCCGCCTGGGGTGCGCCTGAGAAGTGCTGGGGCAGGTGCTCTGGATGTTATTACTATCATAACTGGACTTTGGAACTAAGCCCTCCCAGAAGGGTCTTGGAATGGAGGGTGGAAGGGCAAGGTGAGTCTGGTGGACACCCACAGAATCAGTCTGGAACATTCCATGGCATTTCCTCCTGTTCCTGTCTCTGTGGGGCTGTTGAACCCCTCCTATCCACTAAAGGCTGTGGCTGCCCACTGTTTGTGCCCTTCTGTGGTCAGGAAGCCTCAGAGTAAGAGCTAGCCTGACCTGCCCTTTGGCTGCAGGCGCACAGGACGGGCAGTAGCAGCGCTGTCCGGGATGGGTCCATGAGCAAGGTGGGGGACACGCTTCCGTGGGGAGAGTGGGTGGCCGCTTCCCAGGGTCAGAAGGCGGCTTTAGGTCCATGGTCTAAAGTATGGGGTGGCGGACAGAAGCCCCGAGGCTGCCCTGAGTGGGTCTGTGCTTCTTTGTGTGTCGTGTAAATTCTTGACAGAGTTGAAGAATACATGTGACCAGCTCAGAGGACGTCACAGATGGTAAAATAGCTGAGGGAGAGAAGCACAGGACTGAGTACCCAGAAGAGCATGCGAAAGTCCAACTGCTGCAGGGTTCAGAAGGAGGTGAGACTGAAGTAGGCGGCCGTGGTAGCTGCAGGCCCAGGCCACTGACTGCACGGGGAGGCCTGCCCCCTCTCACTGTCTGCAGGGCTCTGTCCACCTCCCAAAGCAAACCTGGGTGGACGTGGAATTAGGGACCAGTGTGGGAGGGACGTGGAGGCAGCCAGTGTGTGGAGGACTGAGTGCAGCTGGGGCAGGGCCCACGATGCTGTCACCAGCTCCGCCTGCACCCCTGCTTGTCACTCAGTCCCCTCAGTTTTCAATATTAAAAAAAAAGAATAGAAGTAACAGTTAACAGAACCTCCCTGACATCACTGCCTCGGCCAGGTGTTCTCTGGGCTCAAGGTCCTATGGTGGCCGTGGCTCCTGGTGCCCAGTGGAGTCTGTGTTGGCTAATTCATTCTAGAAGCCTTGTGCAGCAGCTAACCTGTGTTTGTCAAACTGAAAGCTCTGAAGAAGATTTTGAAAACACGCATGTTTATCAAAGAGCCACTTCACTAGACAGTCAATTACCCGTGCGTTCATTATCTGGAGGAGACCACTGTTAACATTCTCTGAAAAGGATGTTCCCACGGAACTCCCTGTACAACTGTGTCTTCTGCCCCTCCCCCTTAATGACTTGCTCATGTCATTAGCGCACCCTTCATGTTTGAGTGACATTGCCTCCTAGGACCGCTCTAACTCACTCACTGGCCCTACCCTTGAAGATCCAGACTGGGGCCAGTTTTACGTGGCCTAATACTGTAAAGGACGTCTTTGCACAGAAAGCTTTTTTCCGCACTTCGTATTATCTTCTTAGATTATACTTCCAAAAATAAATTTATTGGGTCAGATGTCAGATTTTTAAATTCTCTCCTTTTATTCTTTTTTGAGATTCTTTTATTTATAACACCATGTCTGGCACTTAAAAAAGTCCCCTAAATACTTCATACAGAACAAATTTGGGTCATTATTCATTCATTTCTCCATGTCTGCCCAGCACTTGGAGGCTCAGGGAGACAAAGGTGGTAGCTGGGGACTAGCAGCAGGAGGGGGAGTGCCTGCACGGGGGTCCGGGGACCTGGGCTCAGCTGGTTCTCGTTCTGTGCCACTCGGTGGGAGTCAGACACCTCCCTGGGTCTCAGTGCTGTACTGTGGGCATGTTGGTGATACCTGAAGTGCAGGTGCTGGGCCCTGAGCCATGGGCCTTGCTCAGTGTTAGGTGAGTGGGAAAGCCCCGGGGTGAGGGCAGACAGGGAAATGTCCTTGCTCCTGCAGAGAGGCAATCCTGGGCAGCAATGCTGCCATGAAGCAGGGCATCTGCGTCCCCCTTGAGGGAGAGTGGCTTTCACCAGGCAAAGAAGGGGCCCCTCGGACAGCATGCCTCTAGGGAGCTGGGCTGCCACGGCCAGATGGACAGGAGGGCCTGGGGGCAGGGCTGGCTGTGGTGGACTGCAACTGGGAGGCAGAGCCAGGGCAGCCTGGAGGAGTGTTGGGAAGCCGGTGCGGGGAGGCTGGTGGAGGCTGTCAGGACAGGGCTGAGGTTGCCGTGGGTGGGCGGAGCTGGGTGTGGCTGGAGGCGGGGCCTCAGGGAGTGCCTCCTGGTAGCCTACACCTGTTCTCTGATGCTGCAGCGCCAGTGAGGACCTTGGACGGAAGAGGGATGGCAGGGCCGTGGAAGGGTGTCCTGTGTGCTCACCTCCTGCCTTCCTCAGACACCGGCGCTCAGGCAGCCTTGCCGAGGCGTGGGTTGGCTGGGTGTGGAGGGCTTTGGTGCTACAGGCAGGCAGACGTGGGAGTTATGGCTGACAGAGCCAGCTGCAGGGGAATGGCCATGCAGATGACTCAACCCGGAGGCCAGCACTGAAGCCCTGGGCCACTCCCAGGAGTGTAGCAGGCAGAAGGAGCTGAAGCCACCTCCAGACAGGACAGGGGCATCTGGAAGGGGAGTGTGCCAACCTTGGGGCAGAGAGGCCCAGAGCTAGCTTCACTGGGACCATGCTGGGCTGCCTCCTTCCTGAAGATGCCCTGCAGCCTGCCCATCATACTCCAGGACATGGCTCAGGGGGACAGGGTGATGGCACCTCTTCCAAGTCAGCTCTGCAGAGTGTGCATGTGGACATGGCCTCTGAGGGTGTGGCTTACTGAAGAACACCTGCTTAGGAGGCCTCCTGTTTTGTGTGGTTCTGCCTGATGGTCCCAGGTCAGCATGTCTGTTGGGTTGGGGCTGTGGAATGGCCAGATGAATGTTAGCTCAAGGTAGGAGCCTCCAGGTGAGGCTGGACTGCCTCAGGAATGGACCTGGAAAGGGGCATGGTCTCAATGAACCCCATCCCACTGGGACAAGAGGAGAGCAGGACACATGAGAGGGCAGCATGGGAGGAAGCCACCTATGTCAGTGCATGCTGTCCTAGGTCCTGACACGCCACCTGACCCATCCCTCCCATCTTGTGTGGGCTCCTGTGTCCACAGAGAGGGTGAGGCTTGGCTGATACTGAGCAAGGCCTGCAGGCACACAGAGTTCCCATGTCTGCTTTCAGTTTAGAGAAAGCCCCCTGTGCAGTGAATTATGTCCCCCAAGTCTGCATGTTGGGCTGTGCCTCCCCGTGGACTGACTGCATTTGAGATGGGCTTTGGAACATTATAAAGTCAAGGAGGCTGTAGGTGGGGACTGAATCCATAGAATTCATAGCAGTGTCCTTCACGAGGAAGAAGAGAGGGAGCTCTTCACCTTCGCCTGGAGGACAGGCCTCTGAGGACCAAGGGGCCATCTATAAGCCAGGAGGCTGTGCCAGACAGTGAACTCACTGGACCTTGACCTTAGACTTTCAGAACTGTGGGAAGTGAATATTTGTTAGGCCACCCAGTCTGTAGAATTTTAATATGCCCAAGTTGACCAATACAAAGTCATCTACAGAAATCCTCCCTTTGGCCAACTACAGTATGAAAATATTAATTAAAAAATTCCAGAAATGATGCATAAATTTTAAATTACCTGTATTCCAGTTGGGGTGATGAAAACTCACACCATCCTGCTCTGTACAGTGTGGGATGTGAATTATCCCTTTGTCCATTCTATCCACACTTTATATACTACCCTCCCATTAATCACTTAGCTGTCTCAGTTATCAGATCAACTGTGGTGGTATCACAGTGCTGATGCTGAATAACCCTTATTTTACTTAACACAGTGGTTATTCTATTGTGTTATTACTTTCTATAAATCGTTTACCATATATAATTTATAATTCAAAATTTATCATATGTTTCTATCGGAAAATATATCAGATACAGAGTACTAGCTGTGGTTTCAGGCATCCGCTGGGGTCTTGGAATATATCCCCTGTGGATCTGGGGGATATTGTATTATTCAGCAAACACTGATTGGTTCTCTGCTGCAGAGACCATGGCATGCCTTTTTGTAGTCAGATGCACAGCCTGAAGGCCACTGTGACCCAGGGGTGGAGGCACAGAGAGTAATGGACCCACAATGATGGGCCTCTCCTACTGGAGCTGAGTTAGTGCAACAGAATGTTCCATTTAAATTAGTTGCTAGGCATGAAGCCTCCTGTCACAGATGGGTGGACTCAATCTTATTGCTGCGCTCCGTTTAGCTGTGCCTGAGACTTGCTGCTAGGGTGTGCTCCTGGGATGACGCATGCTCAGAGTCCTGCCAACCCTGTGGGCCCTGATGCCTTCCAGGTTCAGACAAGCTCAGCCCTGCCCAGGATACCCTGCAGCCTTCAGTGTCCTCACGAGACCCCGCAGAGGAGGAGGGCCCAAGTTCCTCCAACAGAGTGGCCCAGCTAGGTTGCTTGACAGGGGATGAACCTGAGCAGAGGCCATCAAGCGGGATCCCTGGGCTGAGGGTCCAAGTCGGGAACCCTCAGAACAGGACCATCTTGAACATTCAATCATCATGAGCAAAATGAAAATGGGGTGACCTTAGCCACCTTTGTGTTCAGCAAGCCTCTCTCTTTGTAGGAGGGCTGCAGAGTCCTCCAAAGTTTTGCCCAGATGTCGATGCCCACAGCTGAAGACCCGGGTCTTGCACATTGATTATTTCTGATGCTAGCAGTGCAGTATTAACAGGAACTGGAATTCCTGGGCCTGTCAGTGGACTGCTGGTGTGTGTTCTGCTGTGAACACGTGAACACGTGCTCAGGCTGCTCGTGCGGAGGTGGGGCTGGCTGTGTGCACAGCAGCACAGTGTGTGCGGGTATTCTGAAGGGCCTGGGTTGACCAGAGCTCTCCACATGACTGACTTAGTTTCTCTGTATGTGAGCATGCGGACACATGTGCTCACATGCACACAGGTGATCCTGCATGTGCTAGGATCCTGCATGCTGCTCCACAATCTGAAGCCTTCCACTTGCATGGGCAGATGCCCTCCAGTGCCCCTGCCTGCCCTTGGCATCCCCCCTTGGGGCCCAGTATGCTCTCTGTCCTGCACATCACCCTCCCTTTAAATGTCTGCGCTCTTTGCCACATTCCCTTAGGATCTGGCTCTGATAACGTGATAATGAGTGATTATATTTAATGAGACACCCATCTCAGGGCATATCTGTGCATTTTAATAGGGGCTTTTTGGAAAATATCTTAACCCAAAAAATTCCCCAGGTTTTTTTTTTTTTTTTTTTTTTAAGAAATAAAGTACCTAGGTCAAGTAAGTTTAGGAGGTGATTCATGCAATGATTCCCCCTTGAGAATTAGGAAGATATGTGACAGATTAGGTGTCTAAATTGACCTGCAGTAAGAATCAAGGCTCCATCCAACACCATGCGTTCCTGTCCTTGCAGGAAATACAGGTGTCCTTACAGGACATACAGGTGGCCTGGGAGACTTGGCCCTGAACCCATGAAGCCACTGTGCTGTGCAGCTGTAGGCCTGGGCAGGCGGATGGAGCATTCACTGTTGCCTTTTATAGTAAAAAATGTTATCATGATAAGATTCATAGCAAAAAGGTCACCATTTTATCATTTTTAAGTGGCACTGAGAATGCTCCCATCACTGGGCTGCCACCCCCTCCTCCCATCTCAGAACTTGCCCATCTTGCAAAATTGAAATGTGGCCCCCAACAACAGCTCTCCATTCCCTGCTCCCCTGTCCCTGTCCACCACACCACTGTCCATGCCTATGCTTCTATCACAAGGACCTCACAAGGTCATATGGTGCCTGCCCTTTGTGACCACTCGCCTCAGGTGACACAGTGTCTTTGAGGTTCACCATGGTGTAGCAGGTGTATTGCTTTTCTTTTTAAGACTGGATGATACTCCATGCATCTTTTGCTCATCCATTCATTGATCGGTGGACATTTGGCTCATTTCCTCTTTTGAGCTATGGTGTATGATGCTGCTTTGGACATTGGTATATGGCAGTGGTTCTTGGTCACCGGTCTGGCACCCCCACATAGATGGTGCTGTGTTTGGTCCATGCAGGAGAGTGGTGATGTTGTGTTGTGTTCTTTTTAGTGGAGACCAGAGTATTTTTGTTGCAGGCAGTATTTGTTGCAGAAGTATTTTTATTTATGGAAACCATATACTATTGCCTATGAAATCTCTTCCAAAATGTTGATAGACAGGTCCTGGCTTTATGAGTGTTTCCAAGTACTTATCTCATAGAAGTCACAAGGGGACTGGCAGGTCACGGGGAAAGGCCTACAGGAGGAATCTCTGGGGGACATGGTCGGCTCCTGCCCTCCTGCCTGGCTTCCTCTGCCACATTGGCCATGCTGCCCCACAGTTTAGGCTGCTCTGTTGAGCCAGTTTTACCAGGGTGGGGAAACCTATTTCCTGCCACATAGTGGCAAAGTAGGAAGATACAGAGTTGGGGTGGCCTTGTAGCCTGGGAGCCTGGCTGAAAAACATCTTTTTAAAGATCACCTAACTGCTGGGGAGGCCGCGTCCTTGAAGATGATGTACGCCTTCTAACTGCACCTCATTTTTCTCTCCTAGCTTATGTTCCCGAGGAAGAGTTGAAGGCAGCAGAAATAGATGGAGAGCACGTGGAGGATGGTGGGCTGTCTTTGGACATCCAGGAGGGCGAATTTGTGTGTGATGAAGAGACAGAAATCAAAGAGGCCCAGAGCTACCAGAACTCCCCCGTCAGCACTGCGACCAATCAGGACGCTGGCTACGGGTCACCCTTCAGTGAGAACAGTGACCAGCTAGCCCATTTCAAAAGTTCTTCCTCCAAAGAAGAGAAGGAGGATCCGCAGTGTCCAGACAGCATCTCATACCCCCAGGACAGCTTGGCACAGATCAAAGCCGTGTATGCAAACTTGTTCTCGGAGTCCTGCTGGTCTAGCTTAGCTTTGGATTTAAAGAAGTCGGGGTCCACCACCAGCAACCATGATGCCGGCCAGAAGGAGAGCTCCACCCCCACCCCGACGCCCCCTGCCAGCACGGCCAGCACCACGGCCAGCTCCGCCAGCACCAGCTGCAGCACCAGCACCAGCCACAGCAGCACCACCAGTACCAGCAGCAGCTCCGGGTATGACTGGCACCAGGCCGCCCTGGCCAAGACCCTGCAGCAGACCTCGTCCTACGGGCTGCTCCCGGAGCCCAGCCTGTTCAGCACCGTGCAGCTCTACCGCCAGAACAACAAACTCTACGGCTCGGTGTTCACTGGGGCCAGCAAGTTTCGGTGCAAAGACTGCAGTGCTGCCTATGACACACTGGTGGAACTCACCGTGCACATGAATGAGACGGGCCACTACCGAGATGACAACAGGGACAAGGACTCTGAGAAGACCAAGCGGTGGTCCAAGCCCAGGAAGCGCTCCCTGATGGAGATGGAGGGGAAGGAAGACGCGCAGAAGGTGCTGAAGTGCATGTACTGTGGACACTCCTTTGAGTCCTTACAGGACCTCAGCGTCCACATGATCAAAACAAAGCATTACCAGAAAGTGCCTCTGAAGGAGCCGGTGCCAGCCATCACCAAACTGGTCCCTTCTACCAAAAAGCGAGCACTGCAGGACCTGGCGTCCCCTTGTTCCCCGGAGCCCACAGGCGTGGCCGCAGAGGTTGCCCTGAGCGAGTCCTCCAAGGACCAGAAAACTGCAAACCCCTACGTCACCCCCAATAACCGCTACGGCTACCAGAACGGTGCTAGTTACACGTGGCAGTTTGAGGCCCGCAAAGCGCAGATCCTCAAGTGCATGGAGTGCGGCAGCTCCCATGACACCTTGCAGCAGCTAACCGCCCACATGATGGTCACCGGACACTTTCTGAAGGTGACGACCTCGGCCTCCAAGAAAGGCAAGCAGCTGGTTCTGGACCCCGTGGTGGAAGAGAAGATCCAGTCCATACCCCTGCCCCCTACCACCCACACCCGCCTGCCGGCCTCCAGCATCAAGAAGCAGCCGGACTCCCCTGCAGGCTCCACCGCCTCGGAAGAGAAGAAAGAGCCCGAGAAGGAGAAGGCGCCGGCGCCGGCAGGCGACGTGGACAAGAAGATCAAGGAGGAGAGCGAGGATGCCACCGAGAAGTTCGAGCCCACTGCCCTCTACCAGTACCTGCGTGAGGAGGACCTGGACGACAGCCCCAAGGGGGGCGTGGACATTCTCAAGTCCCTCGAGAACACCGTGTCCACCGCCATCAGCAAAGCGCAGAACGGCGCGCCCTCGTGGGGCGGCTACCCCAGCATCCACGCCGCCTACCAGCTGCCGGGCACCGTGAAGCCGCTGCAGGCGGCCGCGCACAGCGCGCAGGCGCAGCCGTCCTACGTGGGCAGCGTGAAGCCGCTGTCCTCCGCCGCCGAGCACAACGCGCTGCTGCACTCCCCCGGGAGCCTCACGCCCCCGCCGCACCGGAGCAACGTGTCCGCCATGGAGGAGCTGGTGGAGAAGGTCACCGGCAAGGTCAGCGTCAAGAAGGAGGAGAGGCCGGCAGAGAAGGAGAAGAGCTCCCCGGCCAAGGCAGCGTCTCCCCCGGCGAAGGAGAATAAAGACTTTCCCAAGGCCGAGGAGAGTGGTGGCAAGCAGCTGAAGAAGGGCCCGGACGCCGAGGCCGGCAAGGCCAGGAAGGAGGGCCCGGTGGAGGCGCACACCCCCAACGGCACGGACCCTCTCAAGGCCAAGGTCACCAATGGCTGCAACAACCTGGGCATCATCACTGACCACTCGCCGGAACCTTCCTTCATCAACCCCCTGAGCGCCTTGCAGTCCATCATGAATACCCACCTGGGCAAGGTGTCCAAGCCTGTGAGCCCCTCTCTGGACCCACTGGCCATGTTGTACAAGATCAGCCACAGCATGCTGGACAAGCCCGTCTACCCCACCACCCCGGCGAAGCAGACCGGCGCCATCGACCGGTACTACTACGAGAACAGCGACCAGCCCATCGACCTGACCAAGTCCAAAAGCAAGCCCTTGGTCTCTGGTGTGGCCGACTCGGAGTCGTCGCCTCTCCGGGAGAGCGCCCTCATGGATATCTCCGACATGGTGAAGAACCTCACTGGGCGGCTGACCCCCAAGTCCTCCACACCCTCCACCGTGTCAGAGAAGTCTGATGCAGATGGCAGCAGCTTCGAGGAGGCGCTGGATGAGCTGTCGCCTGTCCACAAGAGGAAGGGGCGCCAGTCCAACTGGAACCCCCAGCACCTGCTCATCCTGCAGGCTCAGTTTGCCTCCAGCCTGCGGGAGACCGCTGAGGGCAAGTATATCATGTCGGACCTGGGCCCACAGGAGCGGGTGCACATCTCCAAGTTCACCGGTCTCTCCATGACCACCATCAGCCACTGGCTGGCCAATGTCAAGTACCAGCTGAGGAGGACAGGGGGAACAAAATTCCTCAAGAACCTTGACACAGGGCATCCTGTTTTCTTTTGCAACGATTGTGCCTCTCAATTCAGAACTGCTTCCACCTACATCAGCCATCTGGAGACGCACTTGGGCTTCAGCCTGAAGGACCTCTCCAAGCTGCCACTCAGTCAGATTCAAGAGCAGCAGAATGTCTCCAAAGTCCTAGCAAACAAGACTTTGGGCCCGCTGGGGGCTGCTGAGGAAGACCTGGGCTCCACATTCCAGTGCAAGCTCTGCAACCGGACCTTTGCGAGCAAGCACGCAGTCAAACTGCACCTTAGTAAGACGCACGGCAAGTCCCCGGAGGACCACCTGATCTACGTGACCGAGCTGGAGAAACAGTAGCGTCCAGGTTTGCAAGTGACCGCAGAACATTGCACTAAACGTCGTCGTCGTACTGCACTAGGCCTGGCCTGAGCCGCTGAAATCAGTCTTTCCTTTGTTGCTGGACTGCCTCTCTGGACCTTGGTTTTTCTTACACATATTTTGTAGTTATATTTATATGCTCTTTGTCTGATCTGTGCATGTTATTTTCCTTTTTCTGTGAGTCAAAGTCTGACCTTTATTTTCAACATCTGTTCTTGATGTTAAGCTATCTTTTGTAGGAAATAGTGGGGCACACTACTCAGAGACCTTATTTAGCAGTAAAGAAAGACACAAATAGCAATGATAAAAAGACATCCTAAAATTACAAAGTTGCCATGACAATAAAGGTCATAGAACCTGGTGGTGTCAAATTTAACCCTTTGAGGATGTAATTGCATCTCTGTGCCTTTCACTCAAAAAAAAAAAAAAAGGAAAGAAAGAAAAAAAAGGCTTAAAGGCATTTCATTCAGATCAAAAGCTGTGTCAGACACAAAACTTATTTAATAATTAAAAAATGAGCTTTTATATGCAGGACTGGTTTGCGAGGGAAACATGCATGCAGCCATTGCAAGGCAGAAAGCTGTCGAGGACTCATGGGCGAGGAGGCCACGACTCTACACGTTTAAAACAAAAATCACAAGCAGCAACAGCGACCCCCGTTGCCACTATGCCCAAACCCTCTGGATGCTGAAAGTGACACTTTGGCAAAAAAGAAAAAAAAAAAAAAAGAAAAAAAAGAAAAAGAAGTATGCAAGCTATTATTTAAAAATGTGTAAAAATGCTATTTCTTTTTTCCTGTAAAATACTGCCGTTTATAGTTATTTACAAATGTAAGCTTTGGTACAAGCTGACCTTTCTATAGCGTGCTGCATTGGTAAATGAAAAAAAAAAGGGGGGCAAATGTTGAAGTCCTTTTCCTTGTAAGTTGCCAGCATCAGCTTAAAAACTCCTGTATGTTACATATCGTATCATTTTAATCTATTCCGCTTTCTTTGTACCTTCTGGCTGTATGCTTTCTCTTTTAACTTTTTATATTGTCATTTTATATTAAATTTCTGTGTATATAATGTAAAACCACAATTTTTGAATAAAATTTAGTTCCTGCAGCTTGATTTAAACAGAGAAATCTTCCTGGCACCTGCGTCTTCCCCGATGCATGTACTCAGAGGAACTATCAGACAAAAATAAATAAATAAAAACCAAGCGAGCACTGCACTATTAATTATACATTTTGATGTTCTGTCATTAATATTGTACAGTACATTTTGGTTCACACAATTAAATCCACTGTTTTCTCAAATGTAAAATAAACCCACACGCAGTTCTTGATTTACATGGATCGTCATGTCGTCATTATTTTGCCTTTGAGATGCTATTTCAGCAGCAAGAGGTATTGCTTATGCAATCAACCAACACAGATTCTATTCAGAATCATCATTTCATGATTTGTGTGTCGACATGCTTCATTCAGATGATAAGTATTGCATTTTTAAAAGTGATAATTAAAATTTTTACCTCCCCTGGGTGCCAGGGATTGCCGAGGTTAGCCATCGCACCGTGGCTGTTTTGTACCTAGACAGCCTGTGATGCTTCCTTCAGAGAATCCTTTTGCACTGTTTAGAAATATTTGTAATTAACCTTTGTGTACATCTGGGGACTTAATGATGGAGTAGATGGGTAGGTCTTGCTCCAGCTTCACAGACCCCGGGGATCTTGGAATTAGTTCTCTATTTTTGCAAAGAGGAAAACCTGATTTCTGAGCTTTTAAAAATGTACGATTAAAAAAAAAAAAAAAGGACCCAGCTGCCCTTGATTTCAGTGTTTGAGCCACGTCTTATTTCTGCAGACTGCTCCGGACACTTCGGACTGCACTGAGGCGGCCAGGACCCTTGCCCATCCGTGCCATGACG